GGAGACAACATACATATAACTAGGTACGCACAAGGCATGTACCATATAAATAGGATTGGAGGTGCTCAGGCACTGTGGGCAGCGGACAGGAGAAGACCTTTTGCAAGGAGGTGGAGCAAGAACCAGTGTCCCTTCCTCTCATCTTAGTTAAGCTGTTTTGGGCACAGACATTTGTGTTGCTGGGAAGTAGTAAATTTGGTTGCTTTTTGTATTTATTAGAAGTTACATTGGGCATGGTGGTTCTGTCTAGGAACTTCTCAACAGGCCGTTACTCTGCAGGTACATACACAATTAATTGTATTAATGTATTGTATATACAACAGGTCAGTCCCCATTGTGAGATTTTCACATTGGGAATTTATCTTAATTGGAAAAATAAATTAGAGATTGATTTTTTTTTTCATGTTCAGCATGCTTTGCTCCAGCATTGTATTCATATCAGGAATACATTCATGTTATAAAACTATAGAATGCTCACTTTGCAGAGGGTCCTTAGAGATTATCTAGTCCAGCCTACCTTATTTTTCAGATGAAGAAACTGAGGCCCAGAGATATTAAGTTATTTGTCCTAAGTCTCACAGCTATCTTGTGAGAGGTTATTTCAGCACCCCTTAGATGTTAGGACATATCTTAATCTTTAAATCATTTACTGTTTTAATTTAATTCATAATGTTTTTAATTTTTAATTTAATTTATAATGTTTAAAATTTTAAACCATGATGTTTAAATTTGTGGGAAGCATTTTATTAAGCATTAGGAATAATGTCCAAAAGATAGTAGCCTTTTTGCTGGGGTCAGGGATGGAATAAGACATGTAAGCTATGTAACTATAACTTTAACAAACAAGTTAAAGTTTTAACAAAAAGTTAAAGTGCTTAACATGGCAGGTGGCGCATAGAAGGTGTTGTGTAAATGCTTCCTTCCGCCTTCCTTATAAATCTCATTTTATCCTCATAGCAAACTTAGGTAGGTGCTATCATTCTTCCCATTTTGGAGAGGCAACCTGGGCAAAAAGAGAGGGGAACGTGTTTTTTTCTTTTTTCTTTTTTTTTTTTGCACAGGCCAGATTTCACTTAACTGCCTAAGGTAGCCTATTCTACCTGAGACAGTTCTTCCAAGAAGCTTTTACCTTAGCTCAACTCAAAATCTGCTCAGGTCCAGAGTCTTTTCTACTGTCCCAAATAGCAATTTATATGTACTTGTAGTACTCATAAGGGCAGCTAGGTGGCTTAGTGGATATGGTGCAGGGCCTGGCGTCAGAGAGACTCGTCTTCCTGAGTTCAAATCACTTATTAGCTATGTGACTCTGGGCAAGTCACTTAACCTTGTTTGTCTCAGTTTCCTCATCTGTAAAATGAACTAGAGAAGGAAATGGCAAACCACTCCGCCATCTCTGCCACGAAAACCCCAAATGAGGTCACAAAGAGTCAGACACAACAGAAAAACAACTGAGTGGCAATAGTTCTACTGTATTCCCTACCCCTACCCCCCATATTGATGGAATTTCATGTTTGAAATCTCATGAGAAGATATAATTTAGAAAGTTCTCTATAACATATGCAAAAGTGGGAAAAAAAATAACGTTTTGTAAGCATATCAAAGAAATCCTCCTCCCAAACAAAATACCTAGCACGGTGACGAGTAGTAATGTTGCCAGATAATGTTTCTCTTAGTGGAAATAGAAAGAACACATTAAGAGTGTATATTTCTTTTTTCCCTTTTTGATTCTAAAGAGTGAAGATAATTAATTCATTTTACTCCCAAGCAGTTTTCACAAGATTGTATCACTTGCATAAAGTCAAGCATGGGTATGACCTGCATAAGGAGTTTAAATACAGTTTCATATTCTATAGCTGAGTCACAGTAGTTTGTCCCATGCCACCCCCCTGTAACTTTTAAATTAAGCTTAATTTATCCAGTTGATGCTTTTGAACACATAGTTTGATGAATACTCCATTTTGTTCAAGAACTAGGAATATTTATTACCTGTATATGTATATATATGCTTATCCTTATACCCACATGTGTAAATTGATCTTTTTCCTGCATGGATCCAGAATTTTTCTTCAGTTGTTGTCTTTTGGCTTGGGTTTAGGACTGTTCTGCTTGACCTCAGTGGACAGAACTTGGGGTAAGAGGTCACAGTTGCAGAAAAGACATGTTCACTCCGTGCAAGGACGAATTTTTATTAGAGCCACCCCAAAGTGTAATGAGCTTTATTGGGAGCCAGTGGATTTCTCTTTTCCTGGAGGTCTGTAGGCAAAGGCTGAATGGCCACTTACATAACTGTTTTAGGATTCCTTTGAGGTAGCTGTTATACTAGGTGACTTTAAATTTCCTTTGACAGCCTGTGAAACCTTTTTTTTTTTAAAATAAATAATTTAGGCTTCTGGTTTATGACCAATAATTGCCAGTAAAACTCTTGGGTCTTAGTAATATGCTGGATGATAATTCCACAGTTTGCTCTCATTCTGTTGGGATATTTTTGCTGTTAAAATGTGTGTAAATGTTTGTGGGTGAGTACTGGAGAATTTCAAGACTTGACACATATAATTTCTTACTTGGCAGGTTTAGGTAGAGCTGGCAACAGGTATACATACTCTTAGCTTTCTTTTACTTCTGAGCCTGTCACCTAAAAGCTGTGACGTTGAAGGAAAATATTTATACCTCATTAGATCATAGCTTTTGAGATGCATTTTAAAACTGTCAGAGGCTAAGGTTAAGTGGCCAGGCCATTGTTACCATCAGTGTCAGAGGAAGAATTTGAATTCCTCACTCCAGATGTAATATTCTAACTACAGTATCACACTAGAACAGGGGTGTGTGTGTGTGTGTGTGTGTGTGTGTGTGTGTGTGTGTGTGTGTGTAAAAGAAAGTACATGAGCACTGGTTCAGAATCAAGGAATGTTGTTGTTCAGTTGTGTCCAACTCTTTGCAACTCCATTTGGAGTTTTTTTTAGCAAAGATACCAGAGTGGTTTGCCATTTTAACGATGAGGAAACTGAGGCAAACAGGGTTAAGTGGCTTGCCCAGGGTCACAGAGCTAATAAATATCTGAGGTCATGTTTGAACTGGGGAAGTTGTCTTCCTGACTCCAGATCCAGCGTTCTATGCACTGTGGCACCACCTAGCTGCCCCAATCAAGGAATACCTGGGTTCACATTCCACCTCTGATACCTACTGGTTGTGTGACCCTGAGCAAGTCATTTAACCTAGAAGTACTCAGCAGTTCTGTTAAACTAAGTATTTCAGAACAGGTACTTATCTGCACTGGTCACTAGGTGTTCCCTATACCAATAAAATACTAAGCCTGTCCTTTCCAGACTTGTGATTTCATTGATATAGGAAACTTCCAGTGACCAGTTTGTGTATATTAAGTAATGTAGCTGTAGAGAAATATCTAGAAGAATTTATTCTGTAAACTCTGTAGAGGGACAGAGAAATGTCCAAAGTTTCATCTTTGTAACATAAAAAATAATTGTGTGTCAAACTGGAAATTGCCTTCATGTTGTGTGTGCGCATCATTTTGGACAGTGAGAAGCTTAAAAAAAATTTTTTTGCTATTGCTATTTCTTTTTCTCCCCCATTATGAGTTTTCCTCTCATTCTATGCCCTGCGAGGACTAAAATGATCAGAAGGGTGAGATGCCATCTGTCAGTGGTGGCTCAGCAGGGATGTACGATGGCTTTTTATACATTTAATATGCACAACCAAGGAATCTGTGATTCCAATTATGATATTTGGAGCTGGAAAAGGACCTTATAGATGAGGAAACTGAGGCTCAGAGATGCTAAATGATTGGCATTTCTTTAATGGTTTCTGTTTCAAAACTTTTTCTGCATTTATTTCCTTTGATACTTACGTGGTTTATTTGGAGTGACATTCTGGAAACCTCCACAACTGCCGTGATTCAGTCCGCTGAGGTTCTCCAAGGCCTTTGGTCTTTGCCTGCAGGGCCTGCACTGAACTGTGTTCCTCTTCCAGCCCCGCCCCCCCCCCCCCCACCTTCCAGATTATCTTGGGCTGGGAATTTATTTCACTCTGTCTTTTTGTGGATTCTGCTGATCTAGAATTTGTTTAGAGCCATTTTTTACATGTATTTGGAGGGGTTTGGGGGAGAGCTCAAGCAAGTCACTTTTTTTTTTTTTTTGAGACTGAGGTTAAGTGACTTGCCCAGGGCCACATAGCTAGTAGTAAGTGTCTGAAGGTGAATTTGTACTCAGGTTCTCCTGACTTCGGGGGCCAGTGCTCTATCCACTGAGCCACCTAGCTGCCCCCAGAATAACTCTTATTATAACTCTTATAACTTTTGCCCCCCATCCCCCTTCCAGTCAACTATTTTGAAATAATCCACTGTCCTGGAATATATCCCACAGAAGAGAGTAATCTCTTTTTATTTATTTATTTACCTATCTTTTTATTTATTTGTTTACTCACTAATTAATTAATTAATTAATTATTGCTAGTCAATGGGGTTAAGTGACTGACTAGTGAGTGTTTTGTGTCTGAGACCAGATTTGAACTCGGGTCCTCCTGACTCCAGGGCTGGTGCTCTATCCACTGCACCACCTAGATGCCCCAGAAGGGAGTGATCTAGCCATCCATATAGAAAAAACACAATGATAAAAATTGTCAGTTGTCCAAATGTAACAAGCAGTTAGATGGCCAATCTATTACACTGTTAGTAGATTTGTAGGTATATAGCAGATGGATGATTATGTTGGAACTAGGACACAATGGGATGGAGAATGTGCCATAGGGCATTTAGAAACTGTCCAGTGCTTTCAACAATCCCCAGCCGCTCCCTTTCACAAATATCCATCTTTTTTATTTCAGTGATCCTGTATGGTTAAAAATCTTGATATATCACATTCTGAAGAATGGTGGGTGTGGTGCTCCTGAAGGGAATGGAGACAGATGCATGGGGATGTAGGTTGGCTACAGTTTTAGATTCCTTTCAAAATGAACTAATGATGCTTTTTTCTTCTCCTTCCTAATAGGAGATGGGGCCCCTAGAGAAAACAGCCCTTTCATTAACAATACTGACATGGAAAGAGAAAGTGTCTACAAAGGAAAGAACATGGCTCTGTTTGAGGTAACTTGCTTTCTTTTATGTATTGAATATACAAATACAACTGATTTGTACCAAGGATATTCAATAGTTGATTTAAAGGTAAAGGTAAAGTCTGTTAGTTCAGCATTGACAAATTAGTGAATGTTTGAGAGTGATTTAAATGAATCTTTCCCCCCCCAAGTTTTTCTGATTTTGAAACTTACCACATATAAAGAAAAAAGTTGTGTAAGAGAAAAGATGAGTTCTGCCTGTAATAATCTTTTGTTTACTAGCTATCTAAACTAGGTTATTAGAGTGATAAAGCTAGCAAAAATGTCAGTACTCCAGTAATTAAAACATTAAAAAAATTGCCAGTAAGTTAAAAGCAAGAATGGCTAGATCTGCCTTTCCTGAATTATATTCTTTTAAAATCAAGCTTCCTAGTTGTTCTTATTGTTGTAAATTGGGGAGGCAGGGAAAGAAGGAAGAAGGTTGGTATGCACTTGGTTGTTTTAAGAGAACTGTTGAATTAACTCATCAACTAAATTGACTTTTTTGAAGGAAGAAGTCTTAATTTTATATCTCCTGAGCACTGACAGATTTCACTGATAAGCATTAGAGCCACTTGGGAAGTGGTTATTTATCCATTTACTCAGGGCAAGTAAGTACTTATGCTCTGCAAATTGAAGACACTGATTTCCTTCACAGAGTGGTTTGTTCAATACGTGTGAGTGGAGATTTTTTTCCTTTCTTGTTTTTTCTTTTTAAACTGTTGGAAAAATTTTAAAATGCCAGTATTAAGTGGGAAGGGTGCATTCTTACAGCAAAACAAAATGTTCTTTTTTTGTTACCATCTTCATATCCATACAGGAGGAAATGGATCGCAACCCCATGGTATCATCACTTCTTAATAAACTAGCAAATTATACCAATTTGACTCAAGGTGTGGTTGAACATGAAGAGGATGAAGATAGCAAGCGGAAAGAAATTAAGGTATTTTCATTGAGGATCTATTCTTCTCCTGCTTCTTTTCCCTTCTCTCCTCCTCCTCCTTTAAAGAATACAAAGATTACTGTTTGTTAATAAAAACAAAACAAAACAAAGCACAACATTCTGAGAACAAAATTCAGCCATAAAAGTTCTTGTCCAATAAGGTATCTTCCAATATTTGTTAATTTGTTATATTGAGATTGCATAAGATTACTTAATACGTATAACCACAGAGAAAACTTTGTTCAGTGATCCTTTTATTGTAAACTATCCCTCAAGAAATAAAACAGGGTGTGAGTGTGTGTTTATACAGGACTCTATGTTGTATGCTTGCTTAAAGCTGTTTGTTTTAACACAGAGAATGCTTTGTGTAGCTTAGTGTAAGATTTTAAAATGGAAGAGGGTGGGGACCTCTTCAATTTGTCTTCAAGGTTTTCTGTTGTAACAATGTAGTTTAATTTGTGGGAATGTTGGACAAGTAAACTTACTAAGCAAATAAGTTTATAAAACAGTCTCTCTTTGGAAAAAGTGAAGGCACATGTTGTGTTTGTGAAATCCTCGGACTTACAAACAATTATTCCTAAACTTTTTTTTTTTCCCTGTACTATATGAAGACTCCTCAAATAAAACAGTGCCCTCTTGGCCATCTCTCTATCACAGGGAGTCAAAAAAACTTTTAGGAAATTGTGGAAATATTAATTCACTGTGGCTCCAAAGCCAGAAATAAAACATCTCTGCCCTCAATGGGCTTGCACTCAGCCAGAGGGATTGAGGCAATGTTGTTGATTGTCTTAGATTTGTTGATGTTGTCTTGGATTTTATTTGCCTTCTGTTTCAGTCTCCCCGGATGGGCACATTCATCGGTGTATACTTGCCCTGCCTGCAGAATATCCTTGGAGTCATTCTGTTTCTGCGTTTAACATGGATCGTAGGCGCAGCAGGAATCCTCGAATCCTTCATCATCGTGTTCATGTGCTGTACTTGTGTGAGTAGGACATTGCCATAATCATGTTTGCATACTCTTGAAATAGTGGTTTACCTATAGTTAACTGACAGGCTAATTTAGTATTTGTTCTTACCTCTTACTAGACAATACTTCAGATTGGCTTACTCTGAATTATAGCATAGCAGAAATGGTATAGAGTATGACCAAACTATAACCTTATAAAAGGAAAGCAGTCAAATTGCATCTCTTAAAAAAAAAAAATAATGTTCCAAGATTCACATTGCTAATTCAGAATGATTTTATCTAGTTAGTCTGAGTGAAAGTTTTTACTCTGCCTGCACCTGGTATGTGGAGACAATTATCCCTTTGTTTATTCCTTGATTAAGCTTTAGAATTAGTTTCACAGATGGGAGGTACCTCTAGACCCGTTTAGCCATGCTCCACCCCCATCCCCAGAGGTGTTTCAGCTGAGACCTGGAGAAGAGAGTGACTTCTTTAAGGTCACATAGCTTGTTGATATCAGTGGTGAGAGTAGAATAAGACCTATACTAGAGGAGGTGATATATGATAACATAGAAATGGAATAACTAAGTGATTACCTGAGTTATTTGAATGCTTTGTTACGGTTCAAATAGTAAACCTTTTGGATGCAAAATAATATAATGCAAGAAATTAATTTATAGATAACATTTAAATTTCCCTGAAGAGCTCAAAGCACCTTTTTTATTCATATGATCCTTTAGAGTGCTTTTGTCATCAACTGTATCTGATAAGTAAATTCTTTGATTTTATACCTAACATTCTAAAATAACTCCATGGAAAATCAGATTATGAGATAGAAATGTTCCCCTGGATTCCTAACTCCTAGGTATTACTTCTTTCCTAATACTCAAAATTGTCCTCTTTAAAAATTCAGAGGTGACCTTAGCCACTAAATATAGCATCCTTCTTAGTCATGCATTTATCCAACAAATACAGACATATACTTCATAGGGGCAACAAAGTCATTTTGCACCTATAAAGTTAAGAAACCGTTATATGACACAGTTTGGTCAATTCCCCTTTGAAAACAAGACTGTTTAAAAAGAGTCAGCAAAATTACAGTAACATTTAACAAAATAAGACCAGCACAGGGTCCTGCAACCTGCCCACCAGAAGAGTCAGATTTGTGGATTTACATGCAACTGTCTGTACTATCTCACCTGTGACACATACAAGTTGTGTGCACCAGGGCAGGTCATTTAAACTCTCAGCGCTTGAAACCAGAGGTGTGAAACTGGAAGCCTTTGGGCTGCATGTACACTCCTGCATTTAAACCGAACCAGATTAAAATGAAGTTGGCAAGTGTTTAACAAAAATGGGTGAAAATACAATAAAACAACGATAATGTTCACTTGTGTTTTTCTATGTCAGTATATGGCCAGCAGGGATCTGTTTCTATTTGAATCTGACCCTACTAGTCTAGGCAGCTTTCTAAAGCTAAAACAAAAAATGACCATCCACACTGGTTCCAGTAATAGCACACATCTGTCTATCCCATCCTACGGTGTTAAAAGCTGCCTTCCCTAGTGACATCATTTCAAGAATGTTATTACAAAACCAATTAACAACGTCAGCAGGGGTATACTTACGCAGTGCTCAGTACTGTGCAAGGGAAAAAGGAGAAAAATTTTTTTTTTTAGTGTGGTCTATGCCTTCGAGAAATTTATAATCTTAATTCAAGAGATAAAAGAGACACACATGAAATAGTTAGCGAAGGGCACTTCAAAGACAGTATGAGATTAAGAGCTCAAAATGAGCCACACTTACAAGGAGAGTTCAGAGGAAAGATAAGAACCCTGAGGGAAAACCTCTGGGCAAAAAGAGGACTTTAAATGGCTCTTAACTGATGAGTAAAATCTGGGCAGATGGGAGGAAGGGGGATTTGGGGGGGGGAATCATTCAGATAAGTACATGGCTAAAAGTCTGAAGGCAGGAAAAGAAGATGTTTATTTGAAGGGTAGTTAGGGAATAGCTGGAACAGAAGGTGGAGGAGGAGCAGGTGGAATAGACAGAAAAGAAGGTCTGAATTTGTAATGATGCAGGTGACCAGTGGGGATTTGAGAAGAACACTGACATCATCCTTGACCTTTCTGCATCATCTGATGTTGTGGACGATCCCTTCCTTTTAAAATAGTGATTGATCCTACTTCTACTCAGTTACCTTTGATGATATACCCCTTCCCCAACCTGCCTTCTTTCACTCCCATGGGTTTGCTCTTTTGGCCCTATGTTCACATCTATATGTATGAATGCGTATGCACACGGAAACATCTATTATGGATACACATGTAGACTTGTCAGCGATCAATGTGCAGATGCCTCTTAATTTCTGCAGACATTCAATATCCTAACGTTTATACTACATCTCAAACTTGGCATACCTGTGGTAGAATTCTCTCCACTCCAAACCCAGATACTCCAAACTGGATTAATATTTTTTTTTAGCAGTCATTGTTTTAAAATTTTGAGTTCCAGATTCTCCCCCTGACTCCTTGAAGGCAAGAAATATATCAATTATACATGTGACGTCACATAAAACATTTCCGTATTAACAAAAGAAAACACATATACTAAAAGAAGAAAAATAAACAAAGTGAAAAAGTACATTTCGGTTTTGTCTCTGAAAGTGGAGAGCGTTTTCTACCATGGGTTCTTTGGAACTGTCTTGGATCATCATCTTGATCAGAGTAGCTAAGTCTTGAGGCAGCTAGATGGCACAGTGAATAGAACTCTGGCCTTGGAGTCAGGAGGACCTGAGTTCAAATCCAGCCTCAGATACTTAACACTTAGTAGCTGTGTGACCCTGGACAAGTCAATTAACCAGATTGCCTTACCAAAAAGCAAAAAAAAAAAAAAAAAAAGCAAAAAGCTAAATCTTTCACAGTTGATCATCGTTATAATATTGCTGTTACTGTATACTCCTGTTTCTGCTCACTTCACTTGCCATCAATTCATATAACACTTCTGTTTTTCTGAAATCATCTTGCTCATCTTATAGCAAAATAGTATAAGGATTACTACTATTCTTAAAGTCTTCAAGTCTCTTAGGCTTCAACTTCAGCATTACCTTGGTTCTCTCTTCTCCCGCCTTATTGCCAGTCAGTCAAATTTTATTTTTCCTTCATATTCTCTTAACTGTTTCTTCATATCTTTCCTTCTTGTCCTAACTGTAGTTCAGGCCATCAATATCTCATGCTCGGGATTATTTCAACAGCTCTTGAATTGGTTTTATGACATTTAATCTCTAGTAAAACCTATATTCTGACACTATATCCGTCTTAAAAAAATACCACTTCCCACTTCGCAATTTGCAATGATTCCTTACTACTCTTTGGATAAAATAAAAGTTATTCATTCCTTTGTAATTGAGCCCCCAAATGATCTCTTACGTCCTTTTCTACTCTAAATATAATGATCTTATGCCTTATTCAGGAGGTCTCAATACAAGTCATAATTCTGACATTGCATAGTTCTGGTCAAGTCGGTTAACCTTTCAAGCCATGGTATCCTCACCTGTAAAATGTGGCATTAATATTTCAATTAATGAGAATGTTGTGAGACAAGTAATTTCTAAATTTTAAAATGGGATTTATTAAAATAATCTCCTGTAATTATTCAAATTCTCCATGTCTTTCAAAGCCTGGCCCAATCCTAGCACCATGGATTCATTACCATCACAGAACAATCATACTGCTTTGTATTGTCATTTAACTTCAAATTTGTGTTTATGGGAGGGAAATGATCATAAAGGCCTCATCATTCATCAAGTCATCAATAGGACATAAGTACGAAGGTACAATATCTCACACACACACACACACACACACACACCCACACACCCCCAATATGAAGTGTTCAAAACATCAATCACAGATCAGACTTTCGAAAGAATACAAAAGGACTAAAGATGTCTTTATCAACAGGGGTTTCAAATATTTCAAACTATCTTGACACAACACACTTAAAAAAATGATCAAGTTTCCATTTGTTTGTTTCTTAGCTCTAAACTTCAGTCAGTGATGCAAACTTTATTTTGCGTTTTTAACTATTTCTCCCACCACCCCTGGCCCAAAGACAGCTATTTGTTTTTAAAGTTAAATTTATCAGGGTAACCATTTTAAAATGTCTACAGTTAAACTATTTTTTTAAAAGCAGAGAGAAAATATTCTAATTAAGTTCATGAAATACAGAAATTTAAATCTAAAATGCACTTGGTTTATTGGTATACCTGTGATTTTTAAGTGCTTCTTTTTTTATAAAGTGAGTAAGAAAACATGCTTTCACATTTTCTTTTTTCTAGACAATGCTGACAGCAATATCTATGAGCGCCATAGCAACAAACGGTGTAGTTCCAGGTAACAAATTTGGACCATTCTACCCTCTTAACCTTGTTTCACGTTTGTAATATATTTTGAAGACTGGTTTTTGTCAAGGAGGCCTGTGGGTTCAGTGACTAATTATAATGTGACCTTGGGGAGAATGATAGCAGATGACAGCCCTCCCAGTTGTGGTAGTGACTGCTATTCAAAAGACAGGGCTAACAATGTTTCTATTTGCCAGAGGTTGCCAACATCTGGTGTCTATGAAATTAAATGAGGTGAAGCTAAAGGGATTTGGTAGCTCTTTACTTGGTTGTTTTTTGGAGTTGAGTAGTCAAGGGTCCCTCATTCCCCACTAACTGGACTGTCTGTGTTACTGGTTTTGTGTCTTTTCCTTCACATTTGGTAGTGATTACTGTTCTGTGAATGTTGCCATATGTGGTACATCAGTATCCTAGCAGGGTCTTCCTGGGGCTTAGGTCAGTTCTTTGAAGGGGGACCCTTGAATTTTAGAGGTAATTTGCCTTGCATAATTGGTATGGCTCTTCCTGACCCCAGTGATCTCACTGTCTCCCAGTTCTATAGTACATGAACTCTAAATGCCCTGCTTCCTGATGTTTTCTTAAACATTTCTCTTGAAGAGCACTTAATGATTTCTTATTCTAAATGGACCATTTTGGTGTTTCTTAAGTATATAAAATGATTCATGTAACTTAGGCATGTTTTATGAACAGCCACCCTATTCAGATACCACTTTTAAATGTCAGCTTGTGTCCTATTAAATAAGACAGCAATTCATTCTAATCTAAAGGATATTTTTAGACCAGCTTATTTTTAGCCATTTAAAGCTTAAATACCCTTATCTTTATGGAAAGGTTACATTTTCTAAATGAAGTAGCATTATTTATCTTGAATTTTATTTCCTGACAGAGCTGTTAATTTCTTTGAAACCCAACCATTTATTTTCTTTCTTGAAAGTTTTAATAAATCATATACATGTGGGTGGTGGGTGGTGATTGTGTGTTATATGGTGTGTGCTGTTAGGCTTGTAGATGGGGGCAGGAAGGAAACATGAGATGTAAAATGTTTTGAAAACAAGTGGCATTAAAAAGTTAAAAAATTTAATTTCTAGTGACTGGATAAGAAGGTAGCTTTCAGCTTTTCTTCTATGGATGGCGCATTGAGAGGAGGGTGGCCTTAATTAGCTAGCATTTTTACAGTGCTTAACCAGTGCTATCTCATTATCTTCATAATCCTGGGAAGTAGGTGTTATTATTATACTAATTTCACAGATAAGGAAACTGAAGGTGAATGATGTCCCAGGGTCACACAGCCACTGAGCATCTTGAGACCAAATTTGAACTCAGGTCTTCTTGATTCCTGACTTCTGGTTCAGTATTGCCAGCTGTTGCATTCATCATCATCATCATCATCATCATCATCATCATCATCATTATTATTATCATTATTATTAATTTTTTTTTTGTCTAGGCAGTGAGGTTAAGTGACTTGCCCAGGGTCATACAGCTAGTAAGTGTCAAGTGTCTGAGGCCAGATTAGAAATCAGGTTCTCCTGACTCCAGGGCTGATGCTCTATCTGCTGTGCCACGTAACTGCCCCTACTGCTGTATTCGTAAAGAAGCATAGTGGTAACTTATGCCAGCTGTTACTGATTTGAGACAGACTTTGCAGCCCAGCAATAATAAGAAAATTGGTCTGTTTTAAGAAATGTTATTTATATCTTTTGGGAAGTGCTGTGAATTTATAGGGCATTCTCAGTATTCTTTTCACAGTTATTTCCTCAGTTTTAACTGGGACACATATAACATTCGATTGAACCAGAAAGATAACAAATCACAAAGACAAGCATTTTATTTTGCTTTTTAGACATTAATAGTATTCTTTTAAAAAAAATCAGTCAAGCAAGGTTTTTCTAGTTCTTAAAATGGTATGCTGGAAAAGGCTTCTAAGGAATATGGAGATTAACAGCATGCATGTTTTGCCTGCAGCAAAGGTTATTTTAGTGATGGTCTTTTGGTTTGAGGTTGCTTTATCATTCTGAGGCTTAGCGTAGAAGCCTGTGGCAGGGTATAACAAACATCTCAGGGGTTTAATGTTCTTTAATAGGACTAGTTTTTAATATATTTACCTGTGTGTGTGTTCAATTGCCTGTCATTTTAATTTAGGCAAGAATATACAAAATTATAATTGAGGCTCAATTTTTAAGAAATGTTCCTTCAATCTCTTTTCTTGGAACCTGAACCCTTTTTCATATGGGGAGCAGAAATTGCCCTCCCCGTTTTTTGTCACTTCAGCCTTCAGTCATTCTGTAAATGCACATTGCTGATTTTGTTTTATTTTTCCCCCTTGCTTTTTTCAGCTGGAGGCTCATACTACATGATTTCAAGGGCCTTAGGTCCTGAATTTGGAGGGGCAGTTGGACTCTGTTTCTATCTGGGCACCACTTTTGCAGGAGCCATGTATATTCTGGGGACAATTGAGATTTTTTTGGTAAGTCTTTTGTTGGTTGGTTTATGTTGAAATGCATTTTCTTTCTGTCATTGTGGTCAATTGTTTAAAAGCCATCAGCCTATTCACGAGGGCTAGGATGTAGGGACTGGGCCTGTAATTTCAATTCTATAGATAGCTTCCAGGTAAGGAAAGCCTCTTGACCAATGCAGGCATGCCTAATGAAGAGGTTAAGGGACTTGCCCAGGGTTACACAGTGCCAAACACATAGTGAGTACCTAATAAGTACTTCTTGACTTGCCACAGTCAGTTATATGTCACAGGCAGGACTTGAGCCCACGACGTCTTGACTTAAAGGGCAGCTTCCTATTTGTGACACCATACCTCCTGGCCATTCTTTTAAAAGAAGTTACCAAAAGTCATGAACCATTTGTTTAGAAGATTGCTGATTATGAAACATCCTCTAATCTCCCACTATAGACATTAAACTTAAGGTAACACTTTTCACTGTTGCCCTCAACTGTTTTACTGCCCCTGCAATGGCTCTGTGCCTTTCCAAGATCTTTAGTTTGAGATTATGTCAAGAGACATGAGTTTTGGGGGAGAGGTGAGTTCTGTTTTAGTCATGTTGAGTTTGAGATACCTATGGGATATCCAGTTTGGACTGTCTAGTAACTAAGTAGTTGCTCGCATGACTCGAACTCAGGAGAGAGGCTGGGGTCTCTCTCTAGGGTTTATTTCTGAATGTGGGAGGGAGTCATTTGTTTCATGATGATCATTGAACTCACGGGCTCTTACAAAGGTCAGCAAGTATAGAAAACAAGTCTGTTGAAGTTGGGATAGTGGGAAGGCATGAGTTCTCAGCCGTTTCTTAAGGGCTGTCAAACTGATTCTCCTTCCAGGCTGGAAATCTTCCAAGTCTTTCCATCATGGTGACAGGGCCTAGAGATTCCTAGTCTCCTGATGGTTTTCTCTGCTATCAGTAGATTCATTCTCCCCCTCTCTCCTTCAAAATACAAAACAAAACAAAGTTTTGTCAAAAAATATGGTTTTAATTAAATTAGAACATTAGTTCCATCTCTCCATTGATTAGCTGCTAAGTTTAGCCACCCAGGTAGGCTGGCTTGTTTTAAGGAGGAACAAGCGGGGTACGAGGAATGTTGGGAAACAGTTGCCAACAATTCCTATTGATTTCATTGAGAATTTGAACTAAATCTAGCATGTTCTATAAGCCAGTGATAAACTTCCACTCAACCAGTGACTCTTTGACTTAGTTCTTTCTTTATGACCCTTTCAAATCCCTCTTCTTTCCTCTGTGGCTGCTTAAAAAATATGGTTACAGTTTGGCTTAGCAGTGGGTTATTTTAGATGACATTTTCATGCCTTCAAATGCACAGCAGGGTTAGAAACCTAAATTTGTATAGTCTCCTTTGGTGATATGTGAGCTAGCCTCTGAATACCGTAAGTTGGAGTCCAGGGACTCCTTCTAGTGGTCCATGAGGTCAAAACTTTTCATCGTTGTAAAAGGACATTTTAATTTCTATTTCAGTAAATATCAGTAGATATAATCCACAAAGTAAAAAACAAGGAATTATAACTTTTTTATCGTAAACAAAAGCTAATTTAGGGGGTCTGTAGTAATTTTTAAGTGTGTAAGGTTGTCCTGAGACTAAAGATTTTGAGAACTGCAGACCTTCTTGATATTTCCACTGGGAGACCACCCTCTTCCCACCTCCTCATCCTTCCCTTCAGTATGTTAAAAATTCAGCTCGTTTAAAATGAAATGATCTATACCTTCTTCCCCTGCCTTCACCTCTAGAGCTACCCTGGCTTCTCCTCAAAACAAAAACAGTAAATCAGAAAAACAATCCACCTAGTTCCTGGTCTTGCTCCACATGCTTTAAATCACTTGAGTGTAGACCTTTCTCTCTCTCTCTCTCTCTCTCTCTCTCTCTCTCTCTCTCTCTC